CCTACGCCATCACCAGTGACTCATGGCAGCCCAGCTCCAGGTTGAGCTGTTGTTCAGCATCTTAGCTGTAGAGGGCAGTGTCACTGGCCCTCATCTGTGGGATCCAAACCGGGGCCCTTGGGCGTCCCAAGCCAGTTCTTAACCAACGCGCCACTTGGCCGGCCCTCAGTTGGGTTTAGACTAGTACTACCGTGAGCTAGTCCTTTGGGGAGTGGCCATGTGCATGGTATTTGATGACTGGTGACATCCACTGTGAGAAGGGTGCATCAGGTTAGAGCCTGGCAGCTTTCAGGTACATTTTGGGGGCCACTGGCACCTGGCCTGTCCTCTTGTTCCCTGTCTGCTTCCTCCAAAACTTCCCTTCTTTCTGATTCCTCATACAAAGCAAATACTCAACTGCCTTCACTGGTCTGGTTATGGCCCCAGGATGCAATTTCTTTTACTAAACTGAAATCATCAATACTTTTAGTCTTACTACTCTCTTCTATTTCTGGTGAGTTACTTACTTTTGGGTATCCAATATTGTAGCTAGTATTCATCTTTTTTTTTTTTTTTGGTAATAGATGCTAGAGCATCAAATAGATGTGCTTTGATTGCTTTGCCTTATTTTTTTTATGAAAAGCAAATACTTCTGCAACACTCAGGAAGCTAGGCTGTCTATTTAAGGTAAGTAGGTGCTGCACAGTGGGCAGCGTGGGGAAACCACTTAACGCCATTAAGGATAACGGTTTCCTCTATTATAATCGGTTTAACTTGCATATTAAAGTTCTTAAGCAGGACATTAAATTCTTTTCCAAATTTTATTTTAAGATTTAATAAATTAAAAAGGAAAAAAGCTACCATGTTAAGGTCATTTCCAACTCTATTATTTGACAATGCCTACTGTAGCTAAACAAAACATTTACAAAATGAACATTGGAGCATCAGTTAGAAATTTAGGAAAGGAGTGAAAACTTGAAATTGGGGCTGAGTTTTAATTTTCATTGTCAAAATGGTTAAAGCAGGAGGTAAATAAATAATGAACACAGAAAAAGTATTGAAAGATAAGATTAGCATGTTAAACATTTGCTGTCAAATTCCTCTCAAGTCTAAAGTAATCTCAGCTTTTTCACATTGGAAGACATCTACCTAATTATGGATTTCAGTATATTAAAATAAATCCTAATGAAATGCTTAGCAGTTATTCAGTTTTGTTCCTTAGGAAAAAAGAAGCAGTGACCTTCAAAAGTAATGATTGGGATGGATATTAGTGAAAAGAAAAATTTGAATTTATTAAAAATAATTTCTTTATGTATTATTATTTTTTAGCCTCCTAGAAACATCAGGTTATATCTAAAAGCAATTCTTTTCTGTTTTTCCAGTGGTGATTTGGGGTTTTTTATGGTGCGTGCCCAGCATGCACAGGGCGTGGATCTTCTAGGATCGCCCTGGCACTGTGCCATGGTGCCCACAGGAGATGGTCACTCAGCAGACAGAAGACCTACCTCGGTTTCCAGGGCTTCCCAGTCTGACCCTTCGAGCCTTCTCAAGGGTCATTAACTTCTTTTCAGGTTAGCCCCTGGTTGAACCTGGGCTGTTTGGGATATTTTACTAATAATAATCTAGGCTTTTGAATAAGGAATAATTTCCCTTGAAAATCAAATGCAGCCTGGCTTGATAAAGCACAGCTGTAAGTAGGGCTTTTGACAGCCCCACAATTTCTGCAAATGGTTCATAATTGATTGCCTTCTTTTTCTTCAAGGGTACCTATTACTGTCACAGCTCTTTGTGTGCCCCCATCAACCTCCCCTCTGTGGGGAATTTTTTTTTCTTTTTTTTTTTGATATTGTTAGCAATTAGCCTGTACTGTTGTAATAGTTTGGAGTTTGAAAGGAATAAACAACTTCTCTTTGGGTGAGGGGGTTGAAGGAGTTTCTGATTTGTTCTGGAAACTTGAGGTGTGTTAAGCCATCTCCACAGATATGCTGCTTGCGTGTCATTTTCAGCTCCCTGAGCTGGCTCTGAAGATGTGGCACTTTATGGTTCTGTCACCTCCGAGTGGGCCCTAACCTGGTGCCGCCCCGGAGCAGGCAGCCTCACAGCATGGGGTGGCAATCCAGAGCCTTCCCCAACCCCCATGCTGCCTGCCAAGAAGAGCTTGGCGGCGCTAGTTCGTCCTTGCGAATGTGACTTGGAAGAACAGTTTGGGATTTTTCTCATTGCCTGGGGATGACAGTGAGTGAGAACGTGTGTGTAACTTCCTCACTTCCCAGCAGCCGGCTGTAGATGGAATCATTTCTCCCAGAGGGAGCAGGTGTCTTTGAACTTTTCCGTTTCATGTTTAGCATGTAAGTAAACGAGGACTTTGATTCTGAGGATGCAGACTCTGATCCCCACGTGGGCATGCTTGCATGGCTTCCTTTGCTCTGTCTTGAAAGTTGATTTTACTCTAAAATGTCTACAGACTGTTAGGCTGAGAAGATGTGCCTTTCTTTCCAGAAGGGACCCTGACATTGGTCTCTCAGCACTGTTTCCAGCTAAGGGTAAGAGAATTTCTGTTGGTTGGATGCTAGTTATTCTGTGGCATTGTCAACTTTTCCTTTCTCGTTCCATGGATGCATAGGTCTTTACATTGATCTCTGAGACAATTTTGTTTTTGACATATGAAGCTATCAGGAAGTCCTAGGGAAATTTCCCATGTTGACTCTGTAAAATACCTTTGAAAAGTGAGAGGCATAATTTGAAAACTGTAAATAATTTTATGTTTTGTAAAATTTCCTTGGAGCACAGCACATACTTGTATTGGGCTTAATGGTATAAAAAATGCATAAAAGTAAAACCATTTCCTACAAGGTAAGCAGGGTTTTTCCTTTAGTGAGACCCGATTTCATATTTTTCAGCTTTTTAGAAGAATTTTATGTAATCACCTAGTGTAGCTTTGGCCGTGATTATTTTTACAGTTTGTAGGCGTTGTGTTGATAGAACAGGGAACATTGAGAATCTGGAGATATACAGCACGGCAACTGTGTGCTGTACAATTTGCAATTTAACCATGTTTAAGATATATTTTGTTCTGTTTATTCTTTCAAGATAGAATAAAGGGACACACGCTAATGGTTAGGTTTTAGTACAAAGCACGAACATAACTTGCATTTAATATTTAATGCTTGCTCACCCACTCAGCTTAACCTTTTGAGTTTTTCACATGAATTGCTTTGAATAGCTCACATAGCTGAGAAGCTAAAGGGAAAGAAAAAGATTTATTGGGCTACGTGATTTATTTTCTCATATTCTCAAAGTATACATCTTTCTTACATTTTTTTGAGTCTCCTGCATTATTTCAAGGTCTCTTTGGTCGTAAGATGTTGTTGTTAAAAAGTCAAACTAAGACATAATTTAATGATAAGGAAAAGCCTTTTTACGTGGCTTCTGTTCTATAGTTTAATCATGATATTTTTTTAAACTAATACCTATTCCCAAAAGCATGCTATCTGACAAAATCCCTATATGAATGAACTGAGAGAGCAC